TGTGGATTCCTATTTATATACATGAATACACATGCAGAAGTATATACATCTACAGATACTGAAATATACAGTTTCCAGATCTTTCAATAAGCCAGTTTTTATGGATGCCAGATGAACTATTCCCTAGAAGCTTCAGAGTTTATGTATACACATCTAACTTTCAAAAATAATTTTAAGGCTACAGAGGCAAATAAAAAAACAGACTGAAAGCTAAGCCTGCACTCCTCACAGCTGTACTGAGCCTGGACACGACAAATTCATTTTTAGTCTATTTCACCTTCCACATCTTGCATAATTCTGTTTTAAAAGTTACTGTGCTACAAGAATGTTGGTTTTCACTGAACTTTTTTTTTTTTTTTAGAGTACTGGAATAAACAAATACCATTCAAACACCTTTGACAAATAACAAATACCTTGACATAGCTGCTAAGGCTGTGGCCACATTTTCCAGTTTAAGTTCTCATCTTACTGTCTAGCTTTCACCATGAATTATTTTAGCATAACTATGCTGTGGTATCTCTCTTCAGTTAACATGAGAGCAGACTGTTAATTTCTTCAAAATGGCTCCAGCTGAATTTAGAGGGGAGAAAAGTCTCTATGAAATGGGGCTCTTAATTAAAAGTATATTCTGCCACACATTTTTTTTCCCTTCATTTCTTCTACCTATAAAATATGTTTTAGCCATAATATCATAACTAGATTGCTAAATCTATACTAGTAAGGAAATAAGCTTTTCAAGTTACATGCAGTCATTTTCCATTTATTCCTTGTACTTTTTGAGCTCTGACATTTCCTCAAATCCTTTTCACAGTAACTGGTACGAGTTCCCTTAGATAACTGGTGTTTTACCAATACTACAAAACACTTCAGAATGAGTCACAGTAATGAGTTAACAAATTGTTCACAAATGAATAATCTTGTTCAATGATAAAGGAAATCCCATTACAGAAGATAAATTTATCTGCTTCAAATAGCCTTGCAAAGGGATCTTCTAACACAGTACAAGGTCTAGGACAGTTACGAAAAGTGATGCTCCCTCACCAGCCAGTCACGCCGCCCATCACAATCTGGGTAGCTACAGAATATTTTTCTACAATCGGTCCAGAATTCCGGCCAAACACACGATTCCACCAATGGTGACGACGTGCATATTCTGTTAAATCCAACACTTCATAGGAATCATCGTCACTTTCATGTTCTTAAAAAAAAAAAAAAAAAAAAAAAAAAGGTTTTCTCAGTTACACAGTAAATTAACAATCTATGTAAAACCCCCAAACATTAACAGCACCATTTTTGATATGAAATGGCTAATCTAATGGTTTAAATTGCAGCATACAGGCTACCTATGGTCCAGCAGCTCACAGAACAAAGGATTTTGAGATTTTATGACATAACCTTCAAGGTAAGGAAGGGAAGAGTATAGGTAAGGTATAATCTATAAAAATCCATGACTGGCACATAAAAGGTGAACAGGAATCTCCTACCTGTTCAAGTACAGGAACTAAGAGGTATCAGATGAAACTAGCAGGTAGCTTGTTCAACACAAAGGAAGTCTTCATCTCCTCTCCTTCACCCCCTACCTGCCAGAAGCCCCATTTAACCCGTGGAACAACTCGATGCATAATGCTGTAGATACCAAAAGGTGATGCAGACTCCAAATAAACAACAAAACAAATTAAGTAGGCGGGGGGGCATGCAAAAACCCACCAAGGGCTGTCAGACACATAGACAACAACCATGGCTAATGATGTCCTGGGCTGAAAATGATTAAAAACTTTCTGAGAAAGTATCGGTACATGCTTACCCTGTTAAACCTTTCTTAGCTCATCCTGCAGCTGATGGCTTTCAGACACAGATGCTGGGCTTTCATCTGAGCTACTACAATCGCTTTTATGATCTTAAGCAATGTGAAATCTAACTTAAGAGAAAGCACACACACCTCTTCTGGATAGACTTTGAAAGATTGAGGATTTCTGGCCTAGCATCCTCCTCAGAAAGCTAGACCTTAGCATATGCTAATAAGCCAGTAACAGACACTTCTGTTCTTTTTCCACAACAGGTGAAATATATGAAGCTGGAACTTCAATTAAGTTCCAACTGTCTGCAGCATTTTCAACATAGGCCTCCTACAATTTCAAATTAGAGATCCTAAATACCACGCGTACTCAAACATCAGAGGGAAGAGATGATTTTAAATTTTTTAAAGAAGAATATTTTAAAAGCATATCATAGTCCTATGGGCATACATACATGAATTAAAGTCTGCTTCAGTTAAATATATTTAAGGTGAAATATAAGTTCAGCAATGATGCTGGGACATTCCAAAGAGGAAGAGAAATTAAGTTACTACCTAGAACTATCAAGTAAGACTGTAGATATAAGCATTTTATTAAGAATTTCAGGAGCTTTTTTTAACTCTTAATACAAGTATGGGTAAAAAGTCAGAGAATGCAAGAAATACACGTGTGTACAAATTATTTCCCTTTATTATCACCTGAGTGTTCTAAAAAGTTGTTATTGAATGTTCCTTCTTTCCAACTCTGAGGTATCAAGAGCAAACTGTTTAACTCCTTTAAATGGAGAACATAAAAACACTGCCACAGACTGTTAGTTATGTTAATTCTGCCCCTAAATTACCATTACTCAAATCAAAACTCACACAAGCACAACACGTTGCGTGGAAAACAACAGCGCTGGAGCATTTTCTACTGATAAAAAAAAATAAATACTCCCTTCCGCGTGGGGTAATATCGTGCACACTCTTCACGCGCATAAACCTGCGCCTGTGCGAAGAGGCCTTACGCCATAAGGCTATGGCGATGCGCTCGAAGATCTGCTACGTTATAGAGAATGTGCCGGTCGGGTCCCGCGGTCTCCGGCGAGGCCCCGCCGACGCCGGAGCTGCCCGTCCCGGCGCTCCTGCGCGGGCTTTGCCGGCCCCTTCGGTTTTAAGGCGGCTTTCACCTCAGGACCCGCCGCTTCGTCCCCGTCCCCGCCACACCGCTCCCGCCTCGAAGGGGTTTCGGCAGTTGAACGGCGGGACGCCACCGCGAAGCCGGCAAAGGGGCCGGGAGTGTGGGGAGGAGCAGAGGCCGGGACATCCCTCCCCCGCCCCCGGGCGCCGGCACCGGG